CCCTCAGTCTAAGGCAGGATACCGGCAGGGAGGGAGAGGGAGGAGAGCAAGCTTTGCCCTCTGGCTTTAGCTACTCGGTTGCCTTGATCATAGCGTCTTTTTTGCAACTACAAACCTGTCAGCTGTTTGCTGTGGTGTTCACCCTCTGAGCTGCTGGGGTTATTGTGCTCCGTGTTGACATTGGGATGAAGTGTTTAAAGAGTATTCCCCAAACCATGAAAGCCTGAAGATAACGGAATAGCTTCCTAAGTCCTCCTACCCTCTGGATTTTGACTGGAGCTTAGTTTGTCATTGAAGCTCCGTTGTCAGAACAAGTCGACTTGGAATGTTTCCTGCAATGACTTTGGCACAAGGTTAGTTAACATTGTTAAAACACTTTTTTTTTTCTTGCTGGATCTAGTATCCTAGCTAGACTTGCCTTCGGAATACAATCGAAGGGCAGTTTAACCTGGTATTGATAATGACATCAGTAACATAAAATTACTGCATCACTGTAGCAATAGCACTGTTAAGGGGTTCTGCGTAATGTCCCAAAACTATAAAGGTTCAGACTGATTAGTTAAATTCAGTATAAACAGATATGAGAATCTGTTTCTAACCGTATTAGAACTTCATACATTGCATTACTAAGGACCTGAAAGAGAAGCTCGATAAAGCGAAGCTGATTTAACTTGTGTTGGAGGATCCTAGAAAAAATTCTACAAAAACTGTGTTGGAGGATTAAATCATGAAAAGTGAGTTTTAGGAGGCTCTAAGTGGAATTAGTAACAAAGATAGTAACCTCTTTAAAGATTTAAAAATTGATGCTGTTCGTTTTCTTAAAGATTGAAATATTACTTGCTCATTGCCTGTTTTCACTTTTAACAATTTTCTCCTTCCTTATTTTAGCCTGCCTGATTTTCATTGCCTGTGGTAAAGCTTCCAAAAGAGAATTATCTGTAAATGGCTGAAAGATTTTTATTAAAGATGGTAAATGGGAAAATTCAGGTTAATTTGTGTGGCTTATTTGGCCAGTGTCAAATATCAGGCTTCTTGTTCATAATGCAGAAATACAGAACCCTTAAATTTTGTCTGGAACTAATCAGTATATATAACTTAGGTAGCTATATCAAGGCATGATACTTCTAGTCACATATACATAGCTAGCATTATCTGTTCATATAAATGTGTTTGCAGTTTGAATGATCATAGTGCTTACGCTACTATGTAGAAGACCACTGGGACAGTGATTGCTTTTTATGTTTCATGTTGCTTTAAATAGCTTGAAAGCTCAAGCTGCTCACAGGACTCTAGCCTTGTAAATGTTTGTCATTGTTGCCTCACTTGGTTCTCATTTTACACTCCTATCTTTAAATTGGATTGCATGGTCTTCCAATCATGAAACTATTTGTCACGCATAGCCCCTCTCACCGGGGTATCTATGCTGTGACTGAGAGACCTCTTGTGAAAATCAGAGCTCTAAATTATTATACTTCAGGGTGACTGTGGTAACAGACTTGATAATGAATTGAAAACGGAGCTGCCTCCTGTGTTGACTTGTATTACGCATTGAATAGGCTTCACTGCCTCCTGTGGGGAGAAAGTGGTGGAGGAGGTGCCTCCCCATAGCCTGAGATGACCTGGGTGTGAGCATTTTGAGCAACTGCAACAAAGCTCCCTTCACTGCCTGCCCATGGGTATTGCAGGAAAGTGAGGAGAGCTGCTCTGGTTGCTGTATTGCCTGCCACACTTGTGGGACCCTTGGGACAGAAGAATAAAAGCTCAGTTGGCTCTGTGAAGGATGCTTAACAGTCATCCAGGAATCTGGGAGACAGTGAAAAAAGCTGAGGATGAGCAACCAATTGATTCAATGAGTCTCTTTCCCAGCCTTGACTCAGGTTAGAGCTGTCTGAACACTGTTCTACTTAAACTGGCTGCTTGTGGTCCTCTAGAGACCTTCTGCCCTCTGGGGATAGTTAGAATGCTGTTGCCATACACACTTCCTAACCTCTGGCTTGCCATCTGTTATGAAGGAGGCATGGAAGCTATTTTTGCTGGCTCTGGAATATTGGGAATGCTCCCTTTTCCCTTGCACCCAGTGGGAAACTTGCAGGTCAGTACCGCTCCCTTTCCACCACCTGAGCACAGCAGAGAGAGACCCGGACCAAACACCTGCTGTAAAGTGCATATTATGCCTCCTTGGCCCCTTAAAGTAGTTTGTGCTTTTGGTCTGAATACACTTGTCTGTGACTAGGACCTAAGGTATAACGAAAATATCCTGATGTGCAGCCAGCTGGCTTCTTCACTGTTCCTGTTAGGAAGAACCTTCAGGCCTGTCATAGTCCATATCCTAGAGAAAAATTGTTCTCTATGTAGCTAGGCCCTTACAATTAGGATTTGCAGTCTGAACTAGAGCTTGTCTGCTTCGGCAAGTTTTACCAGTGCAGGTTGCACCTCTAAAATCTGGGATTCTCTGGTCTGGTAACATATGTACAGATGTTCCAGGATCAGAGAGTCCAGTGCGCTGCAGGGAGGTGGGGACGCTGGTAGCCGGTGCATGGCTCAGCTGGGCTGCAGAGAGGTGAGGTGGCAGCAGGGTGCCTGAAATGATTTCCCCTGGTCTGGAAAAATCCCTCATCTGGGACCAGTCAGGTCCTGAGGGTGCTGGATCAGGGAAGCCCAACCTGTACTGTAATTATTTCACTAGTTATGCCAGTATAGTGATGCTGTTAGTGTTCCACTCCACATCCCAGTCTGAACAATTTTCCTGTAGAAGAATAGCTCTTTCTCCTGTGAGCCCATTTCTCAAGTGACAAACTGAACCAAAAACAATATTTTTAATACTGGAATGAGTGTCCACATAAGTATTTAACCCGGGTTAAATACTTACTTGGGTTCTACCATAAAAACATAACTACATACATGGGTTATGGGAGGACATTGGTGATGTAACCTGTAAACCTGTAAACCTTTCTATAAACTTATCACGAATCATCTATTATTGCCCAAAGGCTTCAGGCATGGGAAGGTCTCATTGTGCCGAAGACGTGCCTAACAATACTTGGCCTCTCCCCCAAAAGAGAACTAGTCTTAAGAAGGAAATGGTGAGTGGAAGAGAGGAGATGGATTACTACGCATGAGAAGAGTAAGGGTGAAGTTGAGCACACATCTTGTTGGATCCAAGTTTTTATAAAGGCTATCCTGACAGCATGCTAGGTACTATTCTTTTCCACCCATGCAGGAAAGATTTTTTTTTTCTTCTCACTGATGTCCTGAAAGAGGAAAAACTAGTCTTGTAAAAGGATTTTCTTTCCTCCGTCACATAATCTAGGAGAGGGAGCTGCTGAAATTCAGGGAGCCCAAGGCCTCACGCTGCCAACTCTTGAGCAGAGCGGTTGAGGAATGTTCTTCTGATTCCAAGTGCATCTGGGCTGTCCGCTGCCTGCGTGCTCCGCGGCTTTGCTCCCCGTCTCCCTGGTCTGCTGGTCTCCAGCAGACCAGGGAGATGCGGAGCAAACCCCGTTCGTAACTGCGGATCCGACATAAGTCGGATCCGTGTAACTCGGGGACTGCCTGTATAGTAAGATTGGCATTCAGTCTTAAATCTGTTCTGAGATCCCTTTTCATCTTATTAGATTTCATGGTTTTCTGACTTTAACTTCAAAACTTGTTTAAGCTCTACCTAAAATCAGTCTTCTTTTTTTTTTAATAGCAAAAAGAACTTTGTGCACTATATGGGAAATGGACCGAGTGTTTGTACAGTGTTGATGCAGCTACATTTGATGCTTTAAAAAAAAATGACAAGAAAAATACAGAAGAGAAGAAAAACCTTAGACAGGTACTAGATAAGTAAAAGAGATGGTATGTCAAAAGCAGAATGGGACACTGGGGGAGCAGTCTAGGGTGCCTTTTTTGGTTTTGCTACTGTTTTATGCCTTTTCCTTTAGATTTTTTTTCTTAGTAAGAACTTAGAGTCAAAGGGTTTGGACATGTATTATCTGCATTAATTATGAGTGTTATGTGCATTAATTATAATTATACTGGCTATTGTTATCCAAACAGTTTTGGAAGGGTTAAAATCTTTGTGCTTCAGCATTTAAGATGATATCTAATTATGAATTCTCATGAAAGTTTCATGAGAGTGGATTTCCTCACACTGCATCCTGTCAGATTATTTCACTAGACTGGACTAGTGGGACTATGGGTCTCAGGGCCATAATAAAGGTGGGATAAGCAGGGTGCTCACCCTGGGGGCATCATAATTGGGGCGTAAAGATGCAATAAGTAAAAAAATAATCTGCAAAAGTAAAGAGCATGACACGTGCTCCTCAAAGGAGAGGCAGGCACATAATATTTTGCCCGGGGCACAAAAGTACCTAGTTACGGCACTGATGGGTCTGATCTATAATGGAAATTACAACCTGATGCTTTTCAGACCTATAAACAAGGTAGATAAAGGTATGTTTCAAAGGGTTTCATAACTTGCAGGAATAATAGTTTTGCAGGGATTTTTAGTCTGCACCCTCATAGGAAATCTTACACTTCATGTTTCCGTAACCCCATACGTTAATCTTTAATGATGCTTTCAGTAGAAAAACACTCTTAAACCAATGTCAGTGAACATTCTTACAGTAATTACACATACTTGCCACCATTCGTTTTAAAGGAGTAGAGAACATTTTAAACAAATATCTAAGAACCTTAAAAGTAGGTGTTCACCTTTCCATGCCACTGGAGATCATGATGCTTGTTACTCTGGTGCCCTGTTACATTCTAACCTCTCTAAAGGCAAGTATGCCTGTGTAGATTTACATTATTGTTGTACATGAGAGATCCTGTGTTTTGTAATCAGGAGAGTGCTAAAGCTCTGGGGATTACCACCCTCTCTTTGACGCTGCACTTCTGAGCTTTTGGGAGTAGGACAAAAGAAAAATATACCCTACACACTTGTTATCATCAACCTACTAGTTTGTTTACCTTGAAAATACCAAAGCTTCATTTGAATGAAATGCTTTTGTGTACATAGCTCAAGCTTCAGATTACTTTTGACTTCTCATTGGCTTCTACTTGATAAAATATACTTGCCTATTTTGCCTTTTCATCCATGTAGTCTTAACTGGATCTGCTTTTCAGAATTTTATTCTGTTCTCTCTGGCTAGCTTTTTAGTGTGGTTTCTTCTCCCCCCCCCCCCCCCCCGTCTTCCATTTCTCTGACTAGACAAGATTTTTGACATCCTTATCTAGTCTGTCTGATCTTGGGAGTTGTCACAAACTTAAAATGCAAAATCTGCTGAAGAATGATTTTCTTCCCCCGTCAGTCTTATAAGCAGTTCTAATTTAACAATCTAGTGAAAACATGTTTTTCTGACCATATCTTAGAACTGTCAGGACTCGGAAAGAAGTACAGGGATGTTTCTTGTATTTAAAAAAAAAAAAAAAAAAAAAGACCTCCCAAAGAGCAGCCTGGAAGGTGTGTGGTGATGTTTGACAAACAGAATGACGAAGTTGCTAGCGATTGGGGTGTTCTCTGAAAGCTCTTCAGGTTAGAGACTTGGGTCCTGCAGAGAGCCTGCCCCCCACTTAGATGTAGCATAACTCTAGGTGTCAAAATTGCCTAGATGCACACTAAACTCAAACTACACAGCCCCCTAAACTCAAAATAAGATACGCAATTTGTGCAATTTGCTAGATCTATTTCGAAATGGCACTTTGCAGACACACCAAATTTCAAAATAAGTGAAGTCTCAAAATAATGTGCTATTTTGAGACATTCCTTAATCCTCGTGGAATGAGGGTTACTGGGATGCTGAAATAGCGCACCCATTATTTCAAAAAATATTTTGAGATAATGGGTGGCTTGTGTAAATATGGGGGAGGAGGGGAAGGTAGCTATTTCAGGGTACCTCCAGTTCAATCACCTAACTCGTGTCTAAAACCTGGCAGGGTTGTCAAACTGGGTTTCTCCCAATCTCCCATGCAGGGCCCAATCCAGTAAGCATTCTTGGGACAATCCTAAGTGACACAAGATAGGACTAAGCAGATTGGTGGTGAACCTTGTTATATTTGATGGACCACTGGTTAGGGACGGATTTAAACCCTAATCTTTCACACAAGAGGAGAGTGCTTAGATTGCCAGTTGATGGGCTGTTCTGATGTGGGATTCTGTCTCTCCTGTTGAAGATGTTCCACTTTCTAGAAATTGAATATTCATTGGGCAAGAGAGTGCCCATGAGGGGCACACTCCTGGGAGAAAGACCTGGATTGCTTTAGGGGCTGCAGCCCTGGGATAAGGGAGGGAGCCCACAAAAATGAGCCACCAAAAGTGCAGATCTTTTTATGGGATTCACTTAGACCAGGGACCTCGGCTGCAGCCCCTGAAACGCTTGTATTCAGCACTGCTTGGCACAGAGGGCATGCAGCTCCATGCTCTGTTGTTGCCCTCCCCCAAAAACAGAGCTGCAAGCACCAGGAAGTTCCCCCACTTCCCTCACCTGCAGACTCAGCCCCTGCATCTCCCATTGGCCCAGAATCAGGGACAATGGGGGCTTCAGAAGGTTGGTGCCTGTGGGTGAGAGCAGAGCCACCAGCCACCTCCTCTACTCTTCCTCCCCCCCACCCCCAGGTTTAGGCTACAATAGGGGAGCTGTTCCAGGTAAATGCCCTGCTCTCCCTCACCAACTCCCTCCTATTCCTACCTCCCGCCCTGAGCTCCATTCTGTATCTCAAACACCTCATCCTCACACCCAATCGGAGTCCTCCCCTCCTGCACCACTTGCCTTAACCATAGCCTCCTCCTGCACTCTGAACCCCTATCTTGTTCCCTCTCCAATGCCTATGTGGGTGTGTCCCCCCCAAATACTAATAGCCCCAGGTACCCCTTCTATTTTTGTGGCCAGGGGATGTCCAGAAGTCCCCTTCAGAATCTCCACCTTACTACTTCACTTTCCTTTAATTAAAACAAACACAATTGATTAAAATAGTTTAGGCAGGTTTAATTGCTAGTATTACAAGAGTAGTATTTTCCACTGCTTTCCATTGCAAATATACAGTATTTCTACATTACTAACCACCATTTATGACATCATTTCCATGGGAAAGTGCATTTCAAGTTCCAAACAGTTAACGTACAAATGGGTTGTGTTCCAAAAGTTATTTTGTAAGTTGGGGGCTTCCTGTCATGCTATCATGCTTGTAAGTTAGGGGCTTCCTGTCATGCTATCATGTAAGTTCACTTTCCTTGTCTTTTAGGGGCCTATTTGGAGGTGCTACAGGAGACCCTGGTCTCATAGGCAAATTATCCTGCACCTTCACATAAAGCCTTTGATTTGTTTAGGGATAAATCTCACTGTGGAAAAACTTGATATCTGTGTCCAAGATGTTGAAATACTAGACCTGTCTCTGTATGCAGTGATGGATATCCCGTTAGCACACTGACATTGAGACACTAGACCAGTCTCTGTGTGCAGTGATGGATATCCCGTTAGCACACTGACAGACTGAATGAAATGAATAGTGTGCCTCTGTTATATGAAGGCTGTCACATCATTATACCAGGGTGACCTGCTGTAACTCCTAGAACTGGAGAGATCTCTCTGATCAAGCAGGAGTATTCCATGCTCCGGAATGTTCCTCCTGCATTTAAAGATGAGGGCAGCTACAGTCGACTTTCTTGTGTGTGCTGGTGCAGTCCTCAGAAGTTTCACTTAGGTGAAGTCCGGCTACTATTGGATTTAGGGGTCCTTGTAGCCTAAATGGAGTGAAGCTAGATGGATGATTTAACAGACTGGAAAGCTAATATCCTTAATGTACAGAATAGTGATGGGGATGTTGTTCCAGTATCCAGAAAGCTAATATCCAGAAGCTGCGTCTAGGCTGGCATGATTTTGTGGAAATACTTTTAATGGAAAAGTTTTTCCGTTAAAAGTATTTCTGCAAAAGCGCGTCTAGATTGGCATTTGCGCAAAAGCATCCGTGGCCAGTCTAGACGCAATTTTACGCAAGAAAGCCCCGATCGCCATTTTAGCCATTTTAGTTCTTCCCTGTCTACACTGGCCCTCTTGCGCAAGTATTCTTGTGCAAGAGGGCTTTTTCCTGAGCGAGAGCATGAAAGTATTTGCGCAAGAAGCACTAATTTTGTACATTACAAAGTCAGTGCTCTTGCGCAAATTCAAGCGGCCAGTATAGACAGCTTGCCAGTCTAGATGCACCCAAAATGTACAGAATAGTGATGGGGATGTTGTTCCAGTAGTTTTCAACCTTTCAAGACTACTGTACTCCTCTCAGGAGTCTGATTTGTCTTGTGTACCGAGAATTGCACTTCACTTAAGCTATGTGTTCATAAAACCGGAGAGAAAAATACAAAATTGCCTACTTTCTCATTTCTACCATATAATTATAAAATGAATGGATTGGAATAGAAATACTTTGTATTTACATTTCAGGGTGATATTGAGCCTGTGTTTCATTTTAGTCTCATCTGAAGCCGGAGCCTTGGGCAGAGTGACTGAATTCCAAGCCCTGCCTCCCAGGCTGAAGTGTGTGACTTAGCTTCGCAGGGTCTGCTGTAGTGTGGGGCTCTGGGCAGCTGCTTTGCTTGCACCAGCCCTGCACTTGCAACCCCCTTAAGCCCATCTTAGAACCTCTGGTTGTGAAACACTCCTCTTGAAGAGTTGAGTACTCCCTGCAAGCTCATGCCTTCGTCTCCTTTCACTAGCACTTCTGTAGGACTGTCCTGTAGCTTGCTTAAAATTATTTAAATGGCCGTGACTCAAACTTTTTTCTTATGTTGCTTATAGGTGGGCATTTCTGAAGAACCAGATGAGATGCCTTTGCCAGATTCTGAGAGTGTGCATGTTATACCTGGAAGTATTTTACTCTGGAGGATAGCACCAAGGCCTCCAGATTCTGTCCAGGTTAGCCAGGGCTCTGAACACTTGGTGGTTTGACAGTTTGTTAAACTGTAAAATGTACAAGGAACATCTTAGCCACTGACTTGCCTTGCTCGTGATGCACCACAAATAATTTTTGCTGCAATGACCTTGAACTTTCGCATGAAGACACATGCTCTAATGAGCTATGTAATGTGGAACTGCATATATAGATCTTGCATTGTGGATAGACGGGAAAGTGTGCATGCTTGGCTTCTTTCTAGTTTAGCATAACTTCACCACAGAATCCTTGATTATGATCAAGTAGAGCAATTCCCTAATTCGTAGTGGCCTAGAGAATTCAGTCCCACTCTGCTGCTACTTAAGTGCTGCCATCCATTTAGGAAGCACGGTTAGTGCATGACAGGCAGTTCATATGAGAGCTCACCAGAGAGGGTCCATAGAGGAGCACAGTTGTCAAAAGACCAACCATGGAACAAGAACCCATAAGTCAGGCGGCTGAGCAGGACAGAGGAGTAGATGTGTGGCTAGAGAGATTTGGAAGCAGAAAAGAGAATAGAGTGGCTGGTTGGGTAGGTGCATACAGAGAAAAGGGAAGGTTGCTTTAGCAGAGGCCGTAAGAGTCCCTGCAGGATGAAGAATAAGGACAAATGGAGGGAAGGAAGGAGGGAGGGAGAAACTATGTATTTGGCTAGTCAGATCTCATTCAAATTAGATGAGTATAAAGGAACATCCACATATACCAGGAACACTTTCACCTTGCTAGCATCTTAAAACTACTATTTTTATAATTAAGTGATTAGAAAGCGGCTATGATTGCATGTTACTACAGATCAGTCAGTGTTCTTTTTCTGAAAACCTCTTTTTATATGTAAAGACTCTTAACAGCCAAAATTTTCATAGTGATCCTTCA